CTGCAACAGGCTAACCATTTCATTGGCAGAAAATGTTAACATTCAACGAAGGCCGTGGTTTGCGTTCGACACTTTCTCGCTTTTTGAAGGGGAGGGTATGTGTGGGTTCACTGTCCCCTGGAGCGAAGAATTTCCCACAACCCAATCAATCTTGTGATGATTTTTGTATGCCAAACTGCCACCTAAAGCACTAGTTGACAAACAAAAACTAGTCAAAATCAATTACTGAGAGCGGTTTACCCAGTCCTTGCTTTTCTAGTAATATTCTGTTTATTTAGGCAAATACCGAAATTTGAAGCTCACCTGGAAATCATCATTGTGCGTATGCCCATAAAACTGTTGAGCAATGGTGTTTTCGAATCTGTACATTGAGATGCATTGAAAAAGTCAACGAAACATCAAAGCAATGTCACATTTCCTTGAACTGCAGTGCAGTGCTTCACCGCATTGCTGTTTGCAATCTCACGAACCTCTTCTCATTTTCATCTGCGCGATTACCAACAACATTTTGTTGAATTGTAATATTAGGGATTATTATAGATGTTTTGATTGGAAACATGCTATTTTCTCCCATGTTCACATGGTAGGCGGGCGTTGGTCAATGAGCAGTGGGCTCGCTTCGAGAGATGAGCATAATAAAGATAAGGAGGGCAAGATCCTATGTCAAATCTTGCGCTGGCTAGCTGAGCACATGTTTCTGAATAGACCTACCGGAATGCCAACATGACCTGAACTCTCAAAGAATGCGGTGGGGCGCTAAAGAAAAAAGGCCTCTCAGAATCATTGTTTTGTCCTCAGTGCTGGTGCTAGCGCCGAAAGAAAACGAAGAGGAACGACTGGCCCCACCTAAACATTATCGCTATCTGGACCATGTACTTGAATGTTTCAACGAATAGAAACGGAACCTTCAGTGGGACCTCTAGATAACCTGAGTTATCTTGGTTTTTTTTTGACTGCATCTGCCTCCACCATGCATATTCAGTTAGTCTTCCATCTATTACATTTGAGGCATCTATGCTAAGTACAGGTCGCGATCAGTGCATTTATCTAACGATAAGTGAAGTTGCAAGGTCTCTAACAATAAGCTTCAGGTGTTGAGGCACTGTAGCGACTCGAAAGCCTGCGACAAAGGCGACAAGGCCTACCCTTGGCCGCAGCACCGCTGCCACTTCTGTTTATTCGTGTTATACGCGGTGTCCAAATCTTCTCGTTCATCACGTTCCGTCGTGTATTCCCTCTCCTTACGATGCTGTGGTTACTGTCACACTACGGTCGACCTCGCGAGAAAATGAGGTTCTTAGTCTCGAAGTTTCCAATTGTTTCTTCTGTTTTTCTCTGATGTTCCTCTTCGCACCCTTTGCTTGATTTTCGACCGGAATAACACAACAATTCGATCGCGACTCGTTACCTTGAACCCTAATTGGCTCGTGATCCTCCGGTCTAGTGAACTGTTTCAAGCGAGGACATGCCTCGATATCGGCCAGAGGAGGAGAAGCTTACTTTGTCGAAATACAGACGGACTACCTTAGGGCGTGGAACGACACGCGATTTGCAGCAAAGGACATGCATCGATGATCCAGCATGTAGTCCCCGCGGCGTTACCGACGTAGCATGCTCATCGACTGGCTAACCACTGGCCGTAAGTGTCTAGCTGTTTAGCAGATAAAGCATTAGCGTTGAAGAGGGCAGCAGCGAGGAGAGTCGCATCGATCTCGGTTTCTGGGCCGTTTCTCATAGTTTTGCATCATCCCGGCACCACTGACCACCCCTACCTTAGTTCTAATGGAGAGCCTTTTGATAGTGAATTAATAGCCTTTGAGCTGGGTTACTTTTTGCTTTCTTCAAAATGAAATTAGGCTCAGAGTTGCTCACCTCTTCACAATCTCAAAAAAGTTGTACGACCATCCCTTAAGACAATAATCATCTCCTGGTGGGATGTGGGAAATAATGTGGACCTGAAATTTTGATTACTTAGTTGTCAGGCTTTCAGGCCTATCCTGTCGAAATTTCCAAAAAGCTAAGACGGCAGAAATCGACCTTGTCTCCTTTGGCTTCTGAATCGACAAGCTCATCAATCAGCCATTGTAGCGTAGCGTCAGGATCCACTTGATTGATGTACAAATAGCTGGAAGTAATAATAAAATGTTAAGAGGTGTGAAAAGGTAAAGGTATTGTAAAGAATCACAAGTTTATCTCCGAGCAGTAAATAGTGTTGATGGATATCAGCTTCAGTCCTGGTTTCGGATACACAGCGTAACTAGCACGGCTGAATTACCAATTCTTTGAATTAAATCCAATTCACATGTAGGAATAAAAAGGAGAGTATGGTCAGCACTCACTATTGGACATCCGCTAAAGCAGGCTGAGGAAGCCAATTGGACCACATCTCTTTCATTAGACTGTACAACCATTGAGGCCCACGTTGTTCATATTCTGGCATCGTGTGTGGTGCCATTCTGAAAACGGTACGAATTACACCTGCAATTCCGAACGTGCCGACGTGCTCAAAAGATATTCGTATAAATTTTTATAAGCATAGAATTCATGGGCAACGAAAAGGATTTTTATCCTGCATTTGCCGTTGATCAATCCCGTTTTGGGATGCGGCACGCATTCTACTTCCATTTGTACATTCGCAGTGGCGTTTGAATGGCCTATACAATGACTTGCGGGCCCAGCCGATGATCAAGTCAGTGTTTTTATCCTCCCAGACAAGTTCAAAAAACCCAAAATGTAAAGAAAGTACCACGGAGAAATAGAAGCGCGGTGTTGGCCAGTCCGGCGACTCACAAGCCAGGATTGGATTTCCCGGACGCTCGCGTGGTATCGTGCACTTCCCACTACCACCGGCTTCGCCCGTATTAAATGAGGACAAATACACTTATATAGTTGAAGCGGTGGGTTTAGTTGGCTAGTGCCGAAATGCGCAGCGTTCCGCGTAATCCTATGCTTTTTCATCTAAGCTTTAAAAAAGTCTCGAGCATATCATGTTTCTCAAGTTGAGCCGCGACCCTTCATTTGGAATACGATAACATTTTCCAGATTAGATGAAAACATTCCTATAAATTTTGGATCAGTTTGTGTGTACAGATATGTTCTCGAGATACTATTCCGCCATGCTTTTAGGGAATATGTCTGAAGCATGGATCAGAGCTGCCGATCGACGGACATCAGAACGCTCGGGATTGGATTGAAAGAGGGTGTACAGCAATTCGGAACGGTCGTACTCGGGTGTTCAGAAAGTAGAACACCCTGACAAGCGCGATCAACTGAGAGGATAAAGGGGAAACCCGGGATTAGCCCGACCTGTGGAAGGATACCCGCCGAGGAAATCGAAAGGTACCAGTACCTACTAATTAGATCTCACGCTCGCCGACAAAAGTTGCGCAGTTAGGGCGCTAATCCTTACGGCCTGCAACCATCGACCCCCGTTGCAACGCTTCCCACCCACCTCGATATCGGCGTGCTCTCTCGAACGGCGTGATCTCTCGCGTGTTTTGTCTTCTTTGACCGCCCTGCCTCGCCATCGTTCCACATCCGACCTTTTTGAAGGTTAAGGCCTTAATTTCAGCGATCCCAAAGATTTCTCTAGCTTTCCTTTCCACTTTCAGGCGTCCCGCAGCTCAGTCATCATTACGAAGCGATCACCGGTTTTATCCCGGGGCTTGCCTCAAGGTTGGGGGAAGAGAGGGGGTCGTTTTTGACGGGTGCTTTCTGGGAATTTTGATGGAATTTTTGCCAAACTGCATACTGTAGGCAAAACTATGTAGAGTATTTGCCGTTTCTGCAGTTACAGTCATTCCTCCTCTTTGCAATGGAAGTTTCAGTGGAAAACTGGTAAGAGTTGTAGTGTGTCGAGTGGTTTGAGCATCAGCTCGCATAGAAACACAGCCATGGCGTTGATGTGCGTGTGTGCGGGGGTGGGTGGGGGGGGAGGTGTGGTCGTAATTGTGGTTGGTCTCCCTACTGGTATAGTGGTAAGGGTTGTGTCGGGACTCTAACCCATTGGTGGAGAGGTCCGAAAATTCCAAAATGATTTTCGAATTGGTCGAGCGCGACTGTTTACCCTGGCCGGGGATGGGGCAAAAATACAGGTAGAGCACCGAGTTTTCTGTGTCGCCATGCTTAACTTTGGAACTTTGGATACGATGTTCGCCATGAGAATCACTTGCTTGTTGCCCCTTGATTCTATTATTTAAATTTAGCCCTCAACCTGTACTGAGTAATTTTCACAAAATTATTGGTGTTAGTACTTTGGCTGGGCAAAAAAAATTGCGATAACTTCTGAATAGGGCTTCTGAGAATCTCAAAACTCACGCATCTTGAGGTACCCCTTCGTGGTTTCCGATGGATACATAGACAGGCGTTTTTGGAAAGTATCCAAGCAGGAGAGCGGTTACATTGCGTATATTCTCGCGTGTCAAATCTTCCGTGTAATCCCACGAGTCATGAGCTTGGAAGTCTCCGGTGATGATAATGTAATCCAGCTGAAATTTTGATCATAACTCTAAACATAGTTTTGCTATTTTGAGATGTCAGTATTTTCCTCTGAAATGAAGGTGGTAAATTAGCCGATGGCTCCACTACCTCACGTGTAATTCAACGATCAGATCCCATATCGACTTCGCCTGGATTAGCCAAGCATCCCTAGTTGTCGACCAGTTACTGCTAGATGTAGGGAACAGATCGAAGCAAGATCATACATACATAGTATCCCTCGAGGCAAAAGTCTTTT